CCCCCCCCCCTAGACCCCCCTGGTTACGCCCCTCGTCTACGCTTCTATACAAATTTATCGATTACTTTTTCTTGTTGAAAATTAGGCTTGATCGAAAGAAATTTTACGATTTATTGTATAGCCTTATTTCAAAAAAATTAACAATTGAAATCATATTCATTTCTAGATTATAAATATTTTTTATTGTTATTTCCATACTAAAAATTGATTTTGTATACATATTTATTTCAAAGTATATTGAATTTTTTATGATTATTTAATGCATGGAAAGAATGTTTCATGTTCATGACAAAATCTATGCATACACTCAAAACACTAAGTTATAGTGCTATGTCAATATATCGACAAAAATACTATCGTGTAATAGAAAATGCTCTCTTTCACATATGACATATCATGAAATGAATACAATCATGAAAAATACGGAGTAAAACTATCGAGCACCATTTGTCGAAGTAGATTCTACTATGAACAAAGGTATCAATTCGTGATATGCATTTAGTGAATTATTCTAAGAGTTGAACTAAATGCTTAATATTTTTTGAATCGGCAGCATGTTTGTTTCATATATATATATAAATGAATCTCGAATTCAAAAATATTTTCATTTTTTTCTGATGTTAATTGTACATTAGTCACAATACAAAAATAAACATTGTAGTGCAATTATTATTAATCAATTTTAGCAACTATACATGCTTGCATATGCATGCAACGCTACATCTAACGAAAATCATAAGAACAGAAACCTAAAAACAACTGTTCAATTATTACTCAATTATTTCCATTTTTATTCGCTTTCAGCGTTTTCCATGTTCCATATTACACGTTTCAACATTTGAGATTCTCCATTTTGCTTCAGATTTGTTTTCATTCATGACTGTATTCCGTAATCTTTGTCGAGTCGGAATTTCTGTCACCAACTTAATTTTCTTCGCTCTATGCTTTTCGAGAATTGAAAACTCTTCATGTTAAATTAATAAAGTCGGGTACAGAATATTTGTAAGTCTCTTCGATAGACTAGCACAACAATCATTTATAAACTGGTGATTATATAACTATCTATGTAATAGAAATCAAGACATCTGTGGCTAGCACTCACGATTTGAGCAAAACGGTCGATGATTTACTGCACGTAATTCACGACTTTCTTTCGATTTAAAAATTCAAAAATTTCGTCACATAATTGCAAAGAGTCAATAAATATTCGGATACAAAATAAATCCCGTTTAATTGGCGATATTTTAATACATAAAAAAGTAAGTTTGTTGTATAAAAAAATTTTTTTTTTCTAGATAGATCATGTTATCATCTATCTCAATGAATATTAAGTATTATTTTAGCGAAAATTTCCTTGCCTTCTCTTATCTAACTTATCTAATCGAAAAATTTACCTAACATATCTTTTATAAAACAAGCAATTTCTTTGGTTCTACTGCAACATATCGTACGACGTACGGTTGCAGATTTTCATTATTATGTTTAACTTTTCTTTCTTTCTTTCATTCATCTGATTGGATGATTTCGTTTCGATCGAAAAATTAGATGAGTCATCTTAGAAGTAGAAGTGTTTCTATTTTCTATTTTGTCATCTTAAGTCAAATATTCAGCAAACTCGCAGTGAACATTATGTCTTGACTTTTAAAATTGGGGGTGTCACGCTATGAAATAAATATGAATACAATCGTTATATTCAGAGAATAAAGATAAATAAATTCTTTATATTTAAAGAAAAATGTATAACTAAAAAGAAATCTTTACTATTTAAAAGCATAACGGCTAATAAAATATTTATGCTTAGAAGATTAAGGTTTTCTTTTATGTATTGCTATAAAATAAAGGTAAAATGAATAATTCAGAAACCTGTTTTTCTATCATACCTTAATCCTTAACTTTTAAGAATTAGTCCACGAAAAGTGAAGATGATAACTAGAATGAAATGAATTATAAATCAACTTTCTTGTGTATTTTTTCATGTGTCAATTTGATTTTTTTATAATATTGCATGTCTAGGTGATGTTGAGGATAAAGATTATCATATCCAATTGTTATGCCACCAATTTTTCTATTTCGCTTATAGAAGTAAATCTTGTTTATCTTTAATTTCAATCAATAACGACTTTTTCAATTCTTTAATAGTTGTTTTATTATGAAAAACCATTTATTTATGCTAACGTTTAAAGTATTTATAAATATTTTATATAAATTTTTGAATATAAAATTCTATAAAAGAAAAAGCAATGCGCCTATTTATGATAACCTATTTCCGTCCACTTTACGTTCTAATTTCAGTAGACAGTAAGTGTTGCAGTACGACAATGTTTGCTTTTTTTCTACCTAGATCATCTGATAATTAAAATAAATAGTAATCATTGTTTTAAACCAATATATTTTGTAGTTAGCTTATCTAGTTACTTAGTTAACTACTCTTAAGTGTTATTATTTTGTAATTGTTTTTATTGAACTGAATCCATCATGTCTTAACGCAAAGTAGCTGTTAATTTGAAACAAATACTGTTATTTTATTTTTGTTCATCTAAAAAAACGGTAGTACTCAGCATATTAATTTATAAAATTAATGTAATATTTTTTTAAACTAACTTCAATAACAGGATGAGCAATGCATGCTATTTTACTGAATATTTTTTTACTGTTCAAAACAGATAAATAGAAACGATTAATCCCTCTTCTCATACACTCAGCAGCCATCTACACGACTCCATGTAACCTAAACATTAAGTCAAAATATTCATAATATCAGGTCACCTAAGCCCGTACGGGAAGTTCAGAAGAAAATCCTGTGATAAAAAAATTAAATGTTTGTTCAAATCATTTAATTAAATCAGCGATTATTTACATTGATAAAAGGCGCTCCTATAAAGTTTTTACACGACTGAAGGTAATAAATAAAAGTCTGAATTATATTCCTGGCAATATCATGAAAGCAATACGAATTATGTTTGAAAATATATCATCCAAATGTACTGCTTCAAACAAAGATTTAGTTGTCACCTGAGAGAAACGTACGAAGCATTCATTTTATAATTCACTTTGTTAATCACTCTGTATTATGACTGACACCACTACCGATCCATGGTTTCATTTAATAACATCAATCCTTGCTTCTTTGGTCCAACAAACAGTGTTAGAAGCGTACTGTTACCTGTAGTGCTATTACACCATCACACCATCAACTTCTAATACCAAACCAACATTTGTTCATTGATGCATCTCATAAAGTTACAAATTACGTTGACTACTACTGATTTATTTCAACGATTATTTGAGCTATCAAATCACACCCACACGCCCCATTTTTTTTATCACATGCTCTAAACGGCTAGTTACTTCTATGCATCGTCGATGAAGCATTCACAAATATTTCCATACACTACACTTATTTGCCCCGCCAAGCACAACCTCAATGGTAGACCTTGAAGTTGTCCTTGAGCGTGCCACCGACGAAAAATTCCTCAGCTTTTCAAAACATATACATATACATAAATGTGGATACCCAAAAAGTGGATACACCAAAACAACTCAAATTCCTCAGCTTTTCAAAACATATACATATATATAAATGTGGATACCCAAAAGTGGATACACCAAAACAACTCAAATTCCTCAGCTTCTCAAAACATATA